TGTGTTGATATCACGCTGTGAAGTCGTCTTGTGTTTATATGCCTCACTGAAGACACACAAAACTCACAATCACAGCTCAAGCCGTCAAAACCGAACACTCGTGAACCGTCTGGCTCACATTATCACGCTTAACAAATCAAACACTGTGGTGGTGACTTCCTATAATTAATGTTCAGGTCATGAATTCACTATAATATTCAGATGGTGTGGTGTTTTACCAGACACTAATAAGCCATATTTTATTTACTACCTTTGAAATTGGAACCTCATAAGTGAGTGATTTGGAACATCTGATGTTGCAAATGTGTTCCAAATATGTTTAACTGTAACGATTTTAAATGTTACTTTTATGATCAAATGGAATTTCTATTTAAAAATGATTGTTTGTCATATTGGGTGGATTTTATTCTCGGATATGGTTGCTGTGCATTGTGGGATTGCCTTTTCTGTTAAGAAAACGCAATGTGATTGTGATGCTCTCTTAGAATTAATTTTTAATATTAGACTTAATTTACTTGGGAGTCTGATCTTGCACCTGTTTGTCCCAGGGTTATTATAGTTAACTAAAACCATAAAAACAAAAATTAATTAATTAATGTGTGTGTGTGTGTGTGTGTATATATATATATATATATATATATATATATATAAACTGAACTAAATTTAATTTATTTTATTTTATTCTATCTAGGCAAGGCAGCCTTTTTATTTAGTTTAACTGAATAAAAATAATAATATAATAATTATTATAACTAAATAAAATAATAAAAACAGTAAATTCAAAAATAAAAATAATAACTAAATACTATATAAAAACTATATAGACATAAAAAAAATAAATAAAAATGACAAACACAAAAAAATTACTAAAGCATTGACAAATTAAAATTAAAATGATAATGGTAAATTAGTTTTATTTTATTTTTTAGTAATTTTAGTAGTAATTTTTTACAGCTTTATGTATTATTAGTTTTATTAACTTAACTTCAACTTATTTTATTTCACTTTTTCATCGAATATTAGTTAAACACATGGGATAGTCAGTCTTGTCCATTAAAAATAATAATAATAAACTTAAAAATGATGTCAGTGGTGACTCTTTTACTGTAATACGACATTTTCATTAAATCAGCTCAAATTAAGGTCAATTAAGTATAAATACATTCAATTTAGGTACCATTTTTTTCACATTGCAATAATGAGAATGTATTTTATTTATTATTTTGATTTTGTTTTATTTATTTTTTATTTTGCTTTTCATTTAATAAAAAAAAATGTAGTGGCTTTTTTTTGGACTGTGTTAATGCAAATATGTCTCATTGCGTTGGCCTGTCAGAGCGGGTTTGTTTTTCTGCTCTTGCGTGTGTTTTTCTCTCTGTTCTGTCAATCAGATCGTGATCGGTCTGACAGAGTTTAAAGCTCAGTCCGGTTTCTCTCTCCGCCGAGGGTTGGCGGGGGTCTCATTAATTAGCACACCGTCTAGATTAGCTCATTATCACCTTTAAGCAGCATTGATTCATTTGCAGCCTCTTTAATGAAAAGCTTATTTTAATTGGTAATTTCAGGATAAGCACCGAATGAAGGCGTGGAATGGAAATGGCGGTAATCAGGCGCTAAAGCTTAATAAAGCCTCGATAATGCAAAGCACCAATAAACTCTGATGAGCTTTTTAACGAGGTTTGCGGAAAAGAGGCGACAAGAAAAATGCCGTTTAGTCGCCACGGCAACAACTGAATTTTCACTCTGTGATTGGTTTGTTTGCAGCGGGAACCGCCCCCGAGACCACCCAGCCGGCCCCGCCCCCTGCAGAAGCCCCGCCCACCGAGACCAAAGCTCCAGAGGAAGAGATGGACCTGACGGATGATGACATCACTGCAGGTATGGATGTTTTTCCCACAGTACCAAATTCCTGAGTTTCATTTCAGTCTCCTTTCTCTGTTCAGGTGTTTTTCTAATGACTACGGAACCAGGGTTGTTATAGTAAACTAAAGGGAAAAAAAAAAAATAATTACTTGCAAATAACATTTTGTTTAGCATGATTTACTAAAATAACTAAAACTAAAATTTAAATTTAAAAATGAATGAAAACTATATAAACATATTTATAAAAAACCCCAGAAATGACAGACACACAAAAAATGTGTAAACATTTTTAAACATTAAAACAGAAAATTAAAAAATAAAAATGAATTCTACATATATATATATATATATATATATATATATA